AAAAAAAAAAAAAAAAAAAAAAAAAAAAAAAAGTGTAATCCCATTAGCCTGAGGTGATAACTTGCCACTCTGATTTTTTACTCCTTGCTTTTTTAGACACATTTTATGTAATGAATATGCTAAACACGGGCCGTGAACTTAGCTCAGTGGTTCTGCTGCCTGCCTCACAAGCACAAGAACCTGAGTTCGATCCCCGGTATGAAAAAGAAAGATTTTGCTGAACAGACAGGTTTTTTTGTTTTGTTTTTTGGCACTGGGGATCTAACTCAGGTCCTTGCACTTGCAAGGCAGGTGCCAGAACCACTGAGCTAAATCCCTAGCCCATAGACAGGTTTTTAATTTTGCTTTTTCAGGTATTTCCTCTTCACAAGACTTTGTACCTTCTTTGTTTTTTGTTTTCTTTTTCTGCAGTATCAGTGATTGAACTCAGGACCTTGCATTTGCCAGGCAGGCGCGGCACTACTGAGCTACATCCCTGGCCGAGACACTGTACTTTTTTTATAATAATTCAGCCCAGAGAGCCAGTTTTCTTTTCCAACCAGCAGATCTTCGTTATCTTTCTTAGCTCAGGAAATGTTCGTACCACAGCCAGGGATGAGTGCTTTGCAGAAATCTGCAGTAGGCAATGATTTGAAGTCTGAATCATTTTATTTTTGAGGTGCTGAGTGCCTAACCTAGGGCCTTCATGTATGCAAGTTGCCTACCACTGAGCTGTGTTCCATTCCTTGGGTTGGGTTTCTGAAATTTAAAAACCATCAAGGCCAGAGCCAGGGGATTTAGCTCAGTGGTGTCATCACCTGCCTTCAATCCTGATACTAAAGTGGGGGAAGAAACCATTAAGTCCACCTGTGGAAAGCCTGCAGCTTGGGCCCATTTAGACTCACTGTGATCTGTTTATGAAATTTTTCTGAAAGAAAGACTGAATAGCAGGCAGTATAATGTGAAGTTGTTCTCTCTGAACTCTTGATATCTTTGAACACTCATTTATTGTAACAAGTACTTTAATTTTAAGACCGGTTCTAATTTCAGAATATTAAAAACCTTATTACACTTGTTTTTTCATCATTTTCACCTGAGGAAATTAGTCATTTCTTGGAACTTAGTGTCAGGAATTGAGAAAAAAGTTAAATTTGTATTTCCACTTCCTTGTGAGTTAGATCATTGTAGATATCGGTTATTATTTAGCTTTGTAGAAAGTCTTTATCCAACACATCTAGATTCAGCTTCACAGTTGTTGTCTAAGGCTGATCAGGTTGTTGCTCTGCCACGGTTCAGAGTATGTTTTAAAATAGCATCACTAGTTTTATTTAATATGTAAGTGAAGTACACTGAATATGGTTGAGGATTTTGCAGGACCACTGTTTTAATTGTTTGAACATGCGTTCTCATCATAGACTGGGATGATAAAACTTTACAAGCAATCTGCTGATCCTGGCGCCCATCCCAGGAAAGAGAGATGCAAAGAATTTAAAAATCTTCAGCTTTTACTGTATTAGTACTTTCTTAATAAAAAAGTATGTTTATGGGTGGTGGGGAAGGAGGATTCTGTTCATTGGGCTGTATTAGTGCTAAGATTTCAGTCATTGATTTAAAGTTTTGTTCCTTGACTTTGTAACTGTGACCGTTAACTGTCCAATTCTTTTAGTCGTTATATTCAGAAAGAAAGAATATCCCCATGAGTTCCATTTCCCCTTCACATTGTTGGTCTTCATAAACTTTTTTTTAATGATAACAAATTCTTGGCATTTGGATTTTTAAATATGAATTGATTTTCCCCAGTGGTTTTTGTTTGTTTTTTCTGACTGATAATCAGTGAGACCTTTAGAAAAATAAAATGGTTAGGGGCTGGGGATTTAGCTCAGGGGTGCTGCCGCTTGCCTCAAAAGTGCAAGGTCCTGAGTTCGATCCCTGGTACTAAAAAAGGAAGAAAAGACAATGGTCAGTACTTGAGGAGATCTTGGGTATTTGTGTAATGAGTGAGTGGAGCCGGGACCCCTTACCCTGGCAGCACGCTGCAGGCTGTGGAGTCCATCACTGGCTCTGTTCCACTGGGGCGCCAGGTGCTGGGAATATTCAAACATGCAGAAATTTTGCCTGGCAGTAATGCTGGGCATTGCTTTTGAATGTCCTCACATGTCTTGTTTTAGTAGAGAATTGTGTTAATATGCAGTACCTATCATGACCTAATTCAGAAGGGAGTACAAGTACAGCTGTTTTGCTTAACTTTTTCTGGGCTGTAATTTCTGATGACTCTGACTCTGCCTAAACCATGAGCTCTCTCCCCACCCTTTCAGTTTACAACCAGGAGGAGGACTCGTTCTACGTGCACCATGATATCCTCTTGTCTGCATATCCCCTGAGTGTGGAGTGGCTGAATTTTGATCCTAGCCCAGATGATTCTACCGGTAATTAGAAAGCTTAAGATTGTTTAGGGGTTCCTGTTGTAGTTCTTCAGATTCTGTGTCCTGTGCGAGCATGTTCAGAACTGTTTCTGGTGTGTCCCGGTTACTGTTACTTCCTGTGCAGTACATAGGTAGTTCCGAACACGCCGTGATCCATTGTTGGGATCTGTGTCCCCCAGAGCTCAGATAAGCTGAGAGAGGCGCTGCTCCATGCAGGCTGCAGGACGGGGCCTGGAAACCTTGGGTTCAGCACTCTCAGTGCCCTGTAAGAACCCAGTACGGTATGCCGGGGTCTGTTTGAGGCCACCAGCTAGTTTAGTGGCATAACCTGCTTGAAGAAAACAACAGGTACAGCTAAAATGAAGATAGGTCTTCGCATTGGCTTTTTTAGCCACACCTGCACAATGTTACTAGCGGGAAATACTGATAATATTGACCCCATCTATCTTGTTTGCAAAGCTTTACATTCATGGTGTGACATGGGCCTCCCCACGCATCTGTGAGGAAGGAAGGAGGGTTGGGCAGTCCTTATGCAGATGTGGACTTGGGCTGAGAGCTGATGCATGTCCCAGACCCAGCAGTTAGACCGGGATGGGGCCACCAGGGCCCTGAGGTGGACTGTGGTGGGAAGTGTGTGATGAGATGTTATTTTGTCCTTTTTAAAAAGTAATCCAAAGCTCATTGCTTTTTTCTGTAGGAAATTATATTGCTGTGGGAAACATGACTCCTGTTATTGAAGTATGGGACCTTGATATCGTGGACTCTTTAGAGCCAGTTTTCACACTTGGAAGTAAGCTTTCTAAAAAGAAGAAAAAGAAAGGAAAGAAGGTAAAGAAGCTAGTGAACATTTAGACTCCAAAGGCAACTGGAGAAAAGTTTCTATGTAGGGAAGTGGGTATAAGAACATACTTGGGCTTAGCCTTGTGTGTTGAGTTCTCAGTACCTGTGCATTCCTGCAGCTAAGTTGTTAGGTTTTGGGGGAGGGGGCAGTATTGGTATTTGCAAAATTAGCACCTAGATTAAGAACTCTATACTTCTTCCCTGTAATTTATCTAAGTATTTAAGATAATAGGGAAACAGTGTTCATTAATTTGTATTGTGCAGTGATCTTTAAAACGTAGCAATCTTTTACTTCGCACAAAAAGTAATTAAAACAATCATTGCAGAGTTCCTCCACAGAAGGGCATAGTGATGCTGTCCTTGACCTTTCGTGGAATAAGCTGATCAGGTAAAGAACTGCTGTGTGGTAAGGTGTGAAACCTCGCGCCCACATTGTCAGTCCTCCTGTGCCCTGGGCCCCTTCTACCTGTCTGCTGCTCTGTCCCTGCGCTGCCTCCCTGCGCACTTGCCAGCCAGCGCCGCTCTGCGTGAGGGCTGTGCTTCTCCTGGAAGAGTCTCCACGTCCTTCTCACCTCAAATCTCAGCTACATACTCTTTTTCCTTTTTGACTTGGTGTCCACGATGTGCAGCTGTTGTCACATCCACGCCAGACCTTCATCTTTGCGAGGGGACTGCACTTCATACCCACTAAATCCCTGCGTCCCTCTCGCTACTTCCCAGCCCTGGCAGCCACCCTGTCTCTGTCCCCATGAGGTGACTGCTCTTCCTGTTTCATGGGGGAGGAATCCTGGTGTTGCTCCTTGCGGCCCACGGTCTGCATGAGCAGACCCTCTTCGGGCTCACCCTGCGGTGACACCTCTGCCCCACTGTCTGCAGCTCCTGTGGATGCTCAGTGGGTCGCTGGCACTGTCAGCCGCTGCAGTCATAACACTGCTGTGCATGAGGATGCACAGGGGTCTGTGAGGCCCTGCTTCCAGTTCTTTCAGCCAGACCCCAGAGCTGTCATCGTGCATCTTACAGTAGTTGTGTTTGTGAGTTTTTGAGGAACCACCTTACTCTTTTCCGTAGTGGCCATACCATTTTACACCCCCACCAGCAGTGCTCACCCAGATTCCAGCTTCTCCGTAGCCTCCTGGGGTTTCTGTCTTTTTGATAGTAGCTACCCTATTACACAGGTAGGAATGCTGTCTCCCTTTGTCTTTCTCAGTGATTAGTGGAGTTGAGCAACTTCCTGCTTATCAGCCCATGTATATCTTTGTTTTTTGAGACAGAGTCTCACTATGTAGTTAAGACTGACCTGAACTATGTAGCCCAGGCTAATCTTGAATTCACAGCAATCCTCCTGCCTCAGCCTCCCCAGTGCTGGGATTACAGGTGTGTGCCACCACGCCCAACTGTGCTTGTATATCTTTTTTATGAGAAATGTCCTATTAATCCTCCTGCCAGCCTCCCCAGTGCTGGGATTACAGGTGTGTGCCACCACGCCCAACTGCCCTTGTATATCTTTTTTATGAGAAATGTCCTATTGAAGGCCTCTGCCATTTTTTAATTTAGTTATGGGAGCTCATATATTCTAGAGATTAATATCCAATCAGAAATACAGTTCGCTATTTTCCTTCCCATCTGGTGGGTTGTCTACTTTCACAGTCATTTGCAGCACACGTTTTCATGTTGGTGATGGCCAGTTTATTTTGTTGTGTATGAGAAACCGCTGCTCAGCCTGAGACCACTGCCCTGGCTCTTCTCAGAAATCCCAAGTACCAGGGTTCTTCCTGCCCTCCTCGTTCTCTGTCCTTGGCGGTGGCAGCACGTCGTTGTGGTTGCTCTGACCTGTCAGTGCATTCTGAAATCAGGAAGGACAAGCTTCCCAATTCTTTTTCAGAATGTGTTTTGTCCCTTTGGTTCCTCTACCATCCCTTGTGAATCTTAAGACTCTGCTCGTCCCTTTGTTTACAAATCTGTCTGGGATTCGGCGCAGACCGGTTCACTCTAGCTGCTGAGTGTCTGTCTTCACTTGATCTTAGCCAAAAGGCAGAGAAATGATTGTGTCTGTCTGAAGAGCACCTCTTCCACAGGGCACGTCTCACAGCTCTTGATAAGCATTGGTAGCTCTCACCACAGGAGTCTTGGCTTTCTTTAGTTCGACTCATTCCTAAGCATTTATTCTCTATGATGTGGTAAAAGGAACCCTTTTACTCTTACTGCTTCTGGCTTTTAAAAGGTGATCTAACGTGTTTCTTCCCTCTCTCAGGAATGTGCTGGCCAGCGCGTCTGCTGACGGCACCGTCATTCTGTGGGATATGTCCCTGGGGAAACCCGCAGCCAGCCTCGCTGTGCACACAGACAAGGTATGCCATCCTAAACCCCTGGGACAGATGTTGGCCAGAGAGTGTCCCAGTTTTACACAGCTTTTTGTGGTTTACAAAGTGCTTTAGTAATTGTGTGAGATGGCACCTCCCTATAATCAAGGGGGGAGGGGTGTAAAGGCTCCGGGTTCAGGCTCACGTGTTGGCTCCCTGGGTCTTCCCAGAGCCCTGTACAACAGGCACGATGCTCACTTTGGCAGTGCAGAGCTGGTGTACACGGTGTGAGCAGCAGCAGCTGCCAGCGTGTTCACAGAGGTTCTTCTGTGATGTGGCCAGGGGGCGATCATGCAGGGTCATCAGCAGTGAGGGGCTGTGAGCACTTCATCGGATCCAGTGTGGGTGCTGCACTTTAAGTACTGGCCTTTGTTGGGAAGTACGGTTCGTGTTTTGGAGTAGACAGTGCGTTTGTCTCTTTTTTCTTTTCTTCTCAGGACTGGGCATTGAACCTAAGGCTTTTGCACTAAGCATCATCTCCAGACCTTTTTTATTTGCAGACAGGGTCTCTCTGAGTTCCCCAGTCTGGACTCAGATTTGCAGTCCTTCTGCTTCAGCATCCCTCAGTGCTGACATTTATTTTGTTACATGGCGCTGAATTTCAAACAAAAGCATTTGTAGAAACTGTCACATCCGTTCTCCCCGCAGTTCAGCTGATGTTAGGACAGTGCTAGATATCTCAGTGCCTGTCTTTCCTCCCTCAGGTACAAACTCTGCAGTTTCACCCGTTCGAAGCCCAGACCCTGATCTCTGGATCGTATGATAAGTAAGCAGGCACTTGGGGAAGGGCTCACCCTCTTGGCCCAATTCAGAAGTGGCACTTGGTGCCAGACAGAAGACAAGAATGGGGCACTGCATGTCTAAGTCGTTAGTGCTGCTCATTTCTCCTTTTTGCCTGTTGCCTTCCTTTCAGTATGTGAGGAAGTGTGTCATAATAAGGGACAGAGAGAATTGGCAACTTTGACTTTTTTGTGTGTGAGAGAAGGTCCCAGTCACTAGCAGCTTATTTGGTTGTTAGAGGATGTACGTGTTGTGAAACAATCCATCCCAGAGTGTACGGGTCCTCCTGGCTGCTGTGCCACACTGGCCGTTCCAGCCGTGTGGGCACATGTGGCTCTGCTCCCAGTGTGTCACACCCTCCTGAGAGCAGGGTGACCCACACGTGACCTCATGGCAGGGGCACCATGGTGAGCCTGGGCTGAGAACGGGCACACTGCTGCAGCGGGGCCCTGCCGTGGGAGTGGGCTGTGCTCCTCAGAGTTCTCAGGCTCAGGGCAGATCCCATGCCAGGCAACCCAGGGCCTCGCTGGGCCCACGGTGGGAAGGCAGTGAAGGGTTGAGAGCTACACACTGGCTATCTTTGGGTTCCACCCTTCTGCAGGGCGGAGAATTCACCCTTTTGGGTGTGATCCATGCAGAGTCACACAGACACACCCCTCGGTTCAGCAAGCACAGTGCCGCACTCTGGAGGGCAGCACTGGCTGAGACGTGAGTCATGTGGCTCTAAACCCACAGAGCATGGAAACAAGGAGTGGCCTGGATGCTGCAGGAGGTCGAGGCCACTGTCAAGCCAGTGCCACCAGTGCCTTCAGGTGACAGGACTGGAATCACCATTCAGGGAAAGTCAACTCAGTCTTTTCTACTTCATTTTAGAATCTTAAAACAGGCTTTCAGTAACTGAATTTTGACCTCATTAAACATGAGCATAGACCCAGGAGAGCCAGTCCCCGGCCCTCATGTGCCTGTCTGTCTGTGTGCAGGTCCGTTGCTCTGTATGACTGCCGAAGTCCAGACGAGACCCACCGCATGTGGCGCTTCAGTGGGCAAATTGAGCGGGTGACCTGGAATCACTTCGCCCCTTGTCACTTTTTGGTAAGAATACATGTGTAACTTTTGCCTTTCTGGATTTCTAATGACTTTCTCTAGTTCCATTGCGGTGGGATTCTCTGAAAAACTTTCTATTTTAAGTATTTAGAGCTCATGATTGAAAAGATGACATTTGTTTGGTTTTGTAACAAGACAGTGGCTTAGCCACAAAAAACATTGGTGGCCGTGTGAATTTTGGTAGTTGTCAGCGATTCAGAGTGTTCCATGTTTTAGTTTTACTGACTGATCATTTTGTTTTTTGCGATATTAAGCACAGTTAATATTCCTTGTGTATTTTACCTAGTGGTTTAACCAGTCTGAGAGGATGCCTTTTCTCTAAATCTTGATCCTTAAACAGCACTCTGGGTGAGAGTGTGAGCTCATTTAATTTACAGCAATGTCTCCCATAGAGTAGAAAAGTCTAACATGTTCTGCAAACCCCTGCCATGCTTCAGGGTGACAGTTTCCATGCAGTGCCCAGAGATTCCACTGACATTTCAGGACAGGAGAAACAACATCCCGGCTCCTGTCCAGGAGGGAGTGTGGACAGTTAGTGCCTTGGCACAGGAGCTGCCTGCCCTGCAGCCAGGCTCCACCCTGTTAGTGTGAGGTTCCAGCCTGTGAGGCTGGTGCTAGCCTGGGTCAGCAGCCAGACGCATGTCTCCAGAGGTGACTCTTAACATTAACGGTCACAGATACGAGAGCCACAGTGTGTAGGAAGTGGGCAGTGACAAAATGGTCCCCTCCCTCCCTCCTGTTTTTGGCCCACTCTCAGCCCAACCTTCAGGACTGCCTGGTGGTCCACCTTTCTCCTTCCTCCCCATGGTGGCTTTGGCCAGCCCGTAACCCATTCCACCTTGCTCACCGGCGCCAGCCTGCAGCCTGACTGATGCAGCAGCAGAACTGGCCATGTAAGTGCTGCTTGGCCTGGCCTGAAGTCAGTCATGGCATCTGAGCTAACTGGACGAGTGCCAGGGAGTCCTCAGGAGCGAGTCACCGCTTGCCATTGTCACACCGTCGTCCTGGACAGTGATCTTGCCACTTATCCTTCCAGGCCAGCACAGACGACGGCTTCGTGTATGATTTGGATGCAAGATCAGACAGACCGGTGTTCACACTCAACGCACACAATGATGAGATCTCTGGTGAGCGTGGGTGCTGTTCCTCCCTGCCGGGGGCTCGCAACACTGAGTCTACCTTACAAGTCTGAGTGCTGTCCCTCCCCAGGTCTCGATCTGAGCAGTCAGATCAAGGGCTGCCTGGTGACTGCGTCAGCAGACAAGTACGTGAAGATCTGGGACATCCTGGGGGACAGGCCGAGTCTCGTTCACTCCAGGGACATGAAGATGGTGAGGTCCTGCCGTCTGGTGTTATGGATTTGGCTGTGATTCCGCTGCCTGCCTCGTGTTTGTAATCAGCTGGCGGCACCCGTCTCTTCTGGGACTCGCTGCTCCCCAGAGTCTGGGTGTTGAAGGTGGTAAAGTTGGAGCTTAGTCAGATTTGGTGTGGGGCTGTCTCTCAGGGTGGCTGCAGAGGACTCTGCGATGTTCTGCCTCCAAGTCTAGCATGCATGATTGACAGCTGCTTGGTGAGATCATGAGGGGTGGGGAGGACACACAAAAGACCATATTTTTGCCCTAAAATCAAGACCACTGCAGGAACTCTTGGGCCTCAAGGAAGCAGAGCTGCTGGGGTCCGGGATTTATTTGCCATGGCCTCGTTACTTAACTGGTTCTGACTGCACTGCAGTTGATCACAGTGTACATACTAGCAATGGACTAGAATAACCAGGATTCTTTCAACAAATTCTGAGCACCTGCTCCAGTCAGGCACTGTGTTGTTTAAATTAGATGGCAGCTGTGGATGGAAAGGCCGGTTATAGAAGTAACGTTGTAGTACTTTCCCATGCCTGTGTTTAAATCTAGCAGATCATATCCCAAACACCAACAGTGTCACTCACTGAGGTTTTCATAGTTGCTCCGTTCATACTTTTTGTAATACGTATGTATTGTCCAATAATGAAAGCATTAACACGTTTTTAAATGATTTGGGGATGGGGGCGTGGCCTAGCAGTAAAGCACTTGCTTAGCATGTGTGCAGCCCTAGGACTTGATACTAGGCAGTGTAAAGAAATGTCATAGTGACCTCTGGGGTCAAGCTAGGGTTCCTGAGATTTCTGGGAAGATCCTAAGAGTGATGAGGACTGAAGACTGAGTGTTTGGAGCATGCCAAGCCCGCTCAGCTGTGTCACACCAATCCCCTTCCCCCTTGGCTGCAGTGCACTGCCTTTGCCTAACCATTCAGACAAGTTCCAGTCTCGAGAAGAGGGTGGAAATCACTGATCTCCTGTTCTCTCCCCGCAGGGCGTTCTCTTCTGTTCTTCATGTTGTCCTGATTTGCCATTTGTATATGCCTTTGGGGGTCAGAAAGAAGGCCTCCGGGTCTGGGATATCAGCACCATCTCTTCAGGTGAGGCTGCCATTTCCTGCTCTTGCTGGAAAGGCTATGAAAAGGGCAGCACAGAGACAGGAGGCAGAGGGTGAGGCAGACACAGGCTGCACCTGTAGTAGACTCCTTGCTTCAGAAACATTCTGTGCACAGATCATCTGTCTTCACACTTTAGGTGTAGATCTTTTTTTTCTCTCCTGTACCAGGGATAGAACTTGGAACCTTGCACTTGCCAGGCAAGAACAGTACCACTGAGCTGCATCCCCTGCCCAAGTGTAGGTTATTTTAAAAATGCCTTAAAATTGAAAGGTCTTCCTGTTACCAGAGTAAATCTGAGTTTCTCAACTGTGAGACCCAGCTCAGCGATGGTGAACGCTCCAGAGCTTTGAGTGATACAACAGCCCAGGTGCCATAGGTTCGCCACCACTGTCCTAGCTGCTTGTTTGTTATTTTGAGTAAGTCTAGTGTGTCCTATAGAGAGAAATGTTCCCCTGTGATTCCTGAATCCTTCCTACCCGCTGCTGGAGGATCCTGAGGTCTCCCTCTGGGTTGTTCTGATTTTAGCTCACATGTGAAGGGCCCTAAAGGTTGGTTATGATGTAGGGCGAGATGAAGGAAAACAGGAAACAAAGTAGAATAAAGAAAGGACAGTCAGTGAGTGGCACAAGGCATGGGGCATGTTATCAAGGCAGGTTAGATAAATCCAGGACGAGCCAAGGTGAAGTGCAAAACAAGTATATCATTTAACAAAGATCTATAGCCAGGTATTTGGCTCAGTGGTTCCGCCACCTGCCTGGCAAGCACAAGGTCCCAAGTTCAGTCCCTGGGACCAAACAAAAAGATCTGCATTCAACACGTTAACTGAGGCTTCCAAGTTGGTTATGTGCTTTTCTGTTTATAGTGTTAAGTATGTTTTCATAAACTTTCCTCCTGACAGTAGAGAACCTTACAGTTTTTACATTTGAGTCTTTTTTTGTTACAGACTTAATTTCTTGATCTGGTGGTTTCCTAACAATTTCTTTGCTATTTAGTAAATGAAGCATTCGGAAGGCGAGAGCGGCTTGTTCTGGGCAGTGCGAGAAGCTTGTCTGTCAGCGGCCCTTTCGGGGGAAGGAGCGCAGAGAGCCCAATGGAGTCCTAGTTTGCATCCCTGAACCTGGGCTGTGACAAGCTGGCCGCTGCCACCACAGGAGGTGACAGCTCCTTAATTCTCACTGGCCTCCACCTCTCTCTGCAGCTGGAACAGTGACACAGCGCCAGGCTTTGTGCTTGCCTCACTCACATGGGCGCTGTGGGGGGTCGTGTTTCTTGAAAACAGTAATTTAAAAAATGTTTTTTAACTAATGAATTCTTTAACATCTGTCACAATAAATCTAAGTTTCTAAAGTAGGTAGTAACCTATAGAAAATTCTTTTCTTTTATTTGAAACAATAGGGTCTTGCTACGTTCCCAGGCTGGCTTCAAACTCCTGGGCTCGCTCAGCCTGACCTGCCTGAGCCACCTGAGGAGCGGGGATCCAGGTGCACACACCACACAGGCTTTAGTTTTAAGAAGGGAAACGTCTGTGATCTGAAGAAGCCTGGAAAGATGGAGATCTGGCAAAGATGGCACAGGAGACCAAGAGCAGAGGCAGGTGCCTTACAGACGCCTCTTTCCTGATATGATGGTTCTTAAAATTAATGCTTGTGATTTAAAAATGTTCCCAGGGGCTGCTCTTACAGTTTGATAAATAACTTAGAAGCACTACACCTTTTCTTCCTAGCACAGTCAGCAAGAAGAGGCATGTTCATTTTCAAACACTGAATGCTTACAGGAGGAAGTCCGCACTCCACCAGCGGGCCAGTCCCGACTCCTGTGAATGTTAACAGGCAGTAAGGACCCAGCCCTACCCTATTAGGGTGCTGTTCCAGGTCAGACAAGTGGTATAAAAGGGGTTGCAACTTGGATTCACCATGGATAGCAGATTGAAGGATGGAATATATACTGTTTCTTTGCCTTGGTTTGGCTTTTAATCAGATAACAGTATGATCTAGATCAGAGGTCCCTAGAGCTGAGGCCATTGACCAGTATCTGCCTCTGGCCTGTTAAAAGGCAGCTGAACAGTGGGAGGCGAGTGGGACAGCAAAATTTCATCTGTATTTACAGCTGCTCCCTGGCACCCACTTCACCCATCAGATCAGCAGGGCTGATTCTCATAGTTACTACACAGGTGAGGAATCTAGGCTGCATGCTCCCTGTGAGAATCCAATATAGTAATAATAGAAGTAAAATGCACAATAAATGTAATGCCCTGGAATCATCCCCAAACCATCACCACCACTCCCTGACCTCCGTATTTATGGAAAAGTTGTGTTCCATAAAACTGGTCCCTGGTACCAAAAAGGTTGGGAACCAGTGTTCTAGATGATTTAAAAAATAGTAACAGCAATAGGCTTGAGATTTAATCGCAGGTTCCACCGCCTGCCTCACAAGCGCAAGGACCCCAGTACCAAAAAAAGGGGGGGGTAATGACAGCAGTAACAAATAATAATGAGTTAGTAATAAAATCTACTGACAAGGAAAAGTCCAGGACCATATGGCTCACCGTGAAATCATGCCAGACCTGAAGAATACCAGTGCTTCATTACCCTGTTCTCAAAATGTGAAAACAAAACAAACTACAGACCAATATCCTTGATAAACTTACACACAAAAATCCCACCAGAACACTAGAAATTGAATTCAACAGCCTATCAAAAAAAACACACTGATGGGCATGGTGGTGCATGCCTGTAATACCAGCCTTTGGGAGGCTGAGGCAGGAAGATCACCTGTGAGTTTGAGACCAGCCTGGGCTATATAGTTCCAGGTCAGTCTCAATTACATAGTGAGACCCTGTCTTAGAACAACAAAAAAAAACCACAACCATGATCAAGTTGGTTTCATTCCAGAGATGCAAAGATGATGTAACATGCAAATCAATAAAAGTAACAGTAGAATAAAGCATAAAAATCACGTGATAATCTCAATAGATAACAGTAAAAGCATGAGATAAATTAATTCAACCTCCCCTCATGATAAAAGCCCTGGAAATACTAGGTGTAGGAGAGTCACACTTCACCACAATAAAGGCTGTTGTGATAGGCCTACAACCAACAGCATCCTGAGGGGAAAAATAGCATTTCTTTTGAGATCAGGATCAAGACAAGGATGTCCCCTCTTAATAAAGTACTAGAATGGTAACCAAAGCAGTTAGAAAAGAAAAATAGGAAAGAAGTCAGAGTAACCATTTGCAGCTGATACAATTCTGTATACACAGAAAAACATGGACTCCACCAGAGACTTAAAATGAATTCCACTACTAGTAGGATGCAAAATAAACAGAAAAGTTAATACCTTTCTGCACACTCATGAATATGTTAAGAAAAATCATAAATGCGACCCCACTTACACATGCAAAAATACCTAGGAATAAACTAAGGAAATAACCAATAAAATTACAAAATGAAAGAAACTGAAGACACAAAGTAGGAAATCCACTCATGTTCATGGATTGGAAGAATGAATTGCTGTTAAAATACCAATGCTACCCAAAGCAATCTATGCAATCTTTTCCGACCGCATATCTAGGCAGGCACTCAGGAGAGACCCCAAGGGAACAGTATGCCATTTCCCCCACTTTGGAATAATTTGCTTTCAGGGCAGAAAGCCAGTTGTCCCTAACCAATTACACATTAACAACTCACAAAGGTGTCCCAGCATGTGAGAAATGTACTTCACAGCTGCAGTGCAGTTACGCTGCTGGTGAAGGCAGCAGCATGACGCAGCCGGAAATGAGGTATGGGACTAGCAGCAGAGCCTGAGCATTCTGCACTTCCTGAGGACGAAGCAGGGAGATCTCTGGAGAAACATGGACACTGACCAGGAAATGCACAAAGCTAATATACCTGAATTTTAATTTCAGTATGTAGAAAACTGGGATAAACCCTACTTTTCATGTTCTGTACAAACTAAACAAATGATAAACTACAATACACAACCACTAGAGAACACATCTGAGGGCAAATGTGTTCCCAGTGAGTCGCAGCATTAGCGGAAGTTCTACAGTACTTACTGCCCAGGGATGAGTGATTCAGGATGTAGATTTTCTTTTCCCAAAGCAGCCATTTCCTCTCCCCACTTTGTCCCACTGCAAAGCCCACATCCAGCCTGAGCCCCTGCAGCAGGATAAAAAGGCATCAGTGGGTGGGAAGGGTCCGTGAGGACAGCAAACCAAGGCTGAAGACTGCACGTGACTTGCGAAATGAGGCCTCCCCAGACCCACAGTTTGGGTTCTGTGCGGCAGTGTTTAAAGGGTAGCCAGTGTTAGGCAGCCTCCACTTCTGTCACAGCACCTAAGGTGTCACTAGGAGGAAAGCTCATTCTCGGTCCTGCTTCCTGCTGTCCTGGCTTGTGGTGAGGCAGACACCACGGAGGGGCAAGCACAGCAGAGGAGCAGAGAAGGGCCGGCCGGTCCCAGGTTCCCCTCAGTGCCCACTCCTCCCCGAGCCGTGAAGCGGGGACCCAAGTCACAAACAAATGATCCTTGGGGGACAATCAAAATCCAAACCACAGGTCCTAGATGTGCACCCCAGGGAAGTCCCGTTCCAAAGGGGCCACTTAGTGAGCAGGCACAGACCAGTTAAATCTGGGCTTGGCCACTTCCTTAACCTGTCCACACTTCAGTGGCTTCTGTAGATCAGGGATCGTCACAGGTCTGTTGTGCAGATTGAGCCCTAAAGCACCAGACCAATACCTGACACAAATGCACCTCACTGCAACTGGCAACAAAATCATCATTGAAGAGCACCTGTCCTGCATCACAGACGTGTGTTGGTTTTCCAGACGCTCACTCCCCATCCTCTTCTGCAAGCCCAGCCTTCTCTTACTCTACCAGAGCCAGGCTTTCACTCACTCTACTCCTCCAGAGTGACTCACTCCTGCTTGTAGATTTTGGTAACACTCTGCATTTACGGTCACGTGCAGCACGATGACATTCCGGCAACCACAGCCAATGTCCCATAAGTTGCCAAGGGAGCCAAAATTCCTGTGCTGGTGATGGCGTCGATGTAGCATCGGAGTACAACTCACTGCTCATGTCAGGAGTGACACCCACAGTGCAGCTCATACAATGTTGCACAGCACACCGCACCTGACGAGGATGGCAAATGGCTTGCTGGTTTTGCGTTCAGTGGCTACTTATTAGAGTGTACTCTTTCCAGGCAGGGCGTGATGGCACATGCCTGCAGCCCCAGTACTTGGGAGGCTGAGGCAAGAGGATCACCCAAGTTCAAAGCCAACATGGGTTACATAGTAAACTCAAGACCAGCCTGAACTACACAGCAAGACCTGTCTCAAAAAAAGTGTACTCTTCCCACTGCGAAGTTTGCTGCAAGACAGCATGCCCTACTGCACCAGTTATAGCCACATACACCAAGTCTTCATTATGTCCCTTGATGGCATCAATAGGCCACATCAAGGGACTGACCTGTGCCATCTAGGTTTGTGTGAAAACACTGGATGCTTCCAAACCTAACGACACACCGCTTGCAGTACGTGTGGCCGTGTGCTGCCATGGCCTGAACTGATCCCACGTACATATCTGCATCTGTGTCCTGCGCAGCTTGCTGGGGCTCCATGGAGAGCTTCAGTCAGCGTGAGCCTCTCACTTCCTCGGTGTAACGGCAATGTAGGCAGATGCTGCACCGGCACAGGCAGTCCCCTTAGTTTTCCATGCTCACTGTGTCACGTTAGGCTGGGCCAGCAATTCCACGGTTTCTGAAAGGCAGGCTGTCCCCAGGCAGCTAGGCAGACCCCAGGGCCTGATGACCCCCAAGTGTGTATAAATGAGAAAACTAAGGCGAGAACCATCACTGATCTGGGCCACCCTTTCCAGCGGTGGAGATATCCAGTGCTCGTGGCCCACTGGAGATGGGACCGCCTCCCGAGCTGGCTGCTCAGGGTCTCCTTCGAGTACGTTTCTGGAAAGACGGTACTTGTCAGTGCTTGGTTTGCCAGACTGTGGGACTGAATATAGAATTACAACAAAGTCCTGTACTTTTTAAAAAAAAGTTTATTTTCATCCTTCCTAGAGGAATACAGATCTGAATGAATACATTCATTCCATAAATACATTAGCAGCAAAACCTTCCACCAAAGTCCTCTGGCCCACTCTGGAGGTGCAGCCCTCAAGCAGAAGGGCACATTACAGGCCATCTGCTTCCTGCAGAGGCAGTGGCCACACAGCCTCCTCTACCTTCCAAACCCTCAGATGCCCACCAAGCTTACCTAGAGGCCCCTCCGCACTGCCAGGCCCGACCCAGAGCCCACCCTATGGCGTCACTGGTGCTTTGAACTGCGAACCCATTACCAGTGGCTTATCCTTTTCACAGGGGAAGAAGCAAGCAAAGACCATTCCTTCCTGCCAGGAGGAAGCTCGGAGCCGTCTGGGCTCTTGGGGGCTGGGCTTACTGGAGTCAGAGCCATGCCCAGCCAGCCAGACGGTGTGATGACCAGGCCTCACCGCAGCACCCACACACCAGTCCTCGGCAGGAGCCAGCCTCCCAGCCCTCTGCTCCTGTCAGTGCCCACTGACTGACTGGCTGCTCCTTTCTGTATCAGCCCCGGGGCACTGCTGAAAACCTGAACCGCCCAGGCTGGGACAGGGTGCTGCAGGAGATGGTTTTGGCCTCTCAGCGGGAGACAGTGCCATGCACGTTCATGGCTCAGTGTGGAGCAACTGTGGGATAGCAATGAGTCACAGCGAGGAGGTGGAAGAAGAAGAATCGGAAATAAATCTGGTTTGGGCAGAAGGCCACTCTGACAGAGGCATGAATGCATCTCCCAGATTATCCTGGAAATAAAGAACCAACCTCAAAAAGGCCGACCCTTCCCCACAATCCCCAGAAACAGGACGCTCGCTCACCTCACCTCCCCGTCGGACGGATGTCTCATCTGGAGACCCTCCTAAGCAGTCTCCACTCCATCTGTATCTGCTGGCTGGAAGGTACCAGAAACCACTTCATATGAAAGCACTGTCACGGGCAACTGGCTGTGTGCCTCTCCCTTCCCTTTGTGTCTTCATTTGTGCACTGAGAGGGGTTCATCTGCTGAGTACAGAGCACTGCTCAGCCTGCAGCCTTCCGGCCCCACAGGCTCTGCCAGGTCCTCCTCATCAGAGTCCTCGTCCTCGTCCTCGTCTGGGGCGCAGGAGCTGGAGGCCGGGCCCTTGCAGGTTTTCAGGTGGCGGGTGAGGTGGTATTTGGTCAGGTAGGCCTTCGTGCATTTCTCACACACATAATCGCGTTTTCCTTCATGAGAATTCAGATGCTTCTTTAGGTGATTTGTCCTCAAGAACAGCTTGTCACACTTGGGACACTTGATCTGGCGTTCTCTACGAGAAACATTAAGGGTAGCGCTGGATCTGGGGTTGCCGACCACAGCTGAGCGCAGCTTCCTCCTCCTAGCTTGCCTATCAGGCAGGCCCCACCCCTTCAGAAGTAGGCTTTTGTTCTGGTTTGTTTTTGGTAAGAAATACACATGCAAAACAACAGGAGGGCCCACGCTGACTGACCCTGTGGAGCTCCGTGGCAGTGCAACCACCCCGCACGTGTGCTAAGCGTGCATGGTTCAGAGTCGCTGCTGTTCAGTGCTTTGTCTCCTTCCACTGCGGGCCACTGTTACCCTGTGCTGCTGGGCTTGCTTGAGCTAAAGGGAATTCCCGCCCCCTGCCCGCAGTGCCCGCAACTCTCTAGCACACACCAGAGCAGCCTGGCTGCCGGAGGACCACTTGTCACGAGGTCGGGCCGCACACAGTCCCACCCACTAATTCCCAATGGTTGGAGCTGGACAGAAAGTGAGTGCTACCCTAGGTCCAGGTTTAAAGCTGAGTGCTGTGAGGACCACAGGGGGTTTGCTGGGGACACAGCAAAGACCATAAATCCTGTAAAAGGCTCCCAATGTCAAGGAGTAGTGAACTTCCGTGTGCAGACACACAAGCCCAGCCAGAAGCTGACGGCAGCTTGACTACAGCACCCTGACCAGCCTGAGAGGCTGCAGTGCCACCCTCACTGGGGACTTCCAGAAACAGACAGGCCAGGCCCCACCCTGACCAGCTATAAAGGTGTCCCTAGGGGACTTCACGTCACAGGCAACCTTGGGGAAGAGCTCGGTTCAGCTGCAGCTAGGAGCGAGGGGCCTCCAGGCAGGGATCAGTGTCCTTACAGGAAGTAGACACCGGACCCCTGACTCTTTTGTCTCCTGCCTCCCGCCTGCCTTTCCCCAAAACCCTGGGGGCTCACACAGAAGCATGTTTTCTCAGGTGTGCAGGCACTGGCTTCCAGGAAGCATCCTTGGCCTGGCTTGCTCCTGGTGACTTGTGCTGTGTCCCTTTTTACTGAGTGGGTCTCTCAGTGTGACTAGATGATCCCAAAGATCTCTGTCAGCTGCAGTACCTCACAATTCTATACATCTGATAATTGCTGTCAGATTTTCTAAAATTTCACACAAATAATGAAACTAAGGAAGACTTTGTTTTGAAAGGTCCTTTACGCTGGGCACAGTGATGCACAACAGAAATCTCATTACTTAGGAGGCTGAGGCAGAACCATCTCAAGTTCATAGCCAGCCTGTGCAGCACAGCCAGACACTCATCTCAGAAAAAAAATAAAGATAATGAATGCGGGGGGCAGGAAGGGAGAGAGAGAGAAAGAAAAAGGGAAAAAAAAAGGAGAGCTAACTGTGAGTGCTGGAAAATGATGCAGACTGCAGACAAAGGCACTAGTGCTGATCAAGGCCTTTCCCAGCCCTGTGTGATCAGAGTCCCCAACGAGCCTCCATCTCCGCTGCGGGGGTCTTCCCCCTCTCCAACATTCACTCAGAGTGGGGACACTGCCTCTCTGCACTGCACGCAGGACAGGCACTGGTGCATGCATTACCACAGGGACACGGCACCGCTGCCTGGAGTGCTGGCCCTGCTCCTCGTACTCGTGATGCTGCCCCAAGAGCCACAGCCTCCGCTCCCTCTGCCACATTTCTGCTCAGACACCAAGCTCACGCCTCCCCACCATCCAGCTCATGTCCGAGACAGCCCAGACTGCGGAAAGCTCCCCAGCCTGGCTGTGTGCATAGCAAGTGCTCTCCCTCTCAGCCGCTGCCCCCAGACTCTGAGCTCTTTAGGACAAGGCCGGGCCCCTTCCTCTCTGGAACTCTACCTCACAGCGCCACTCTTGGGATCAGAGAAGTAATCTTGAAACTGTCAACACGACAATACACTTGAGAGCATGAGCAAAGATGAATACGGAGAGCAGAAGAGAGAAAGAAAGGAAGCGGTGAGCAGGGCGACTCACTGCGTGTGGATGAGCACGTGCTGCCTGAGGTCCTGCCTCCGCATGAATAGCTTGTGGCAGTAGTCACACTTGAGGTTCTTCTCCCCGGTGTGGATGACCATGTGCGACTCCAGGTGAGCCTTCTGGGTGAAAGACTTGTCACACAGAGCACACCGGTAGTTCTTCTGGCCTGAAAATGAACCCAGACGGCACGCTGCACACAAACCGCTCGGCCTCACGACCAGAGCCATACCGGTTCTACTCCTCCTCCCGGGACCACCAGCGGATGTGCAGAGGCTAACATTAACCTAGCCGACACAGGATATAACACCTGGGGGAGGAAATCCTGTCATCTTAGCGCTTGATCTATAGACTCATGAACCCAACCTTGTTGCCGCGCAAAGATTTTTACAGGCTGTACTTTGTGCTGTCTGGAAGATGGCCTCATGACCCAGGAGTCAAGTAAATCCCTCCGAGAAGGCACACTCAGGTCCCTCAGTCAGGGCCGGCAGAGCTTTTCAGGAAGGCTACAGGCTCAATACTCTGGCAGCCACTCAGTCTTAACACAAAGAATGAGAAAGAAACGCCTTTTGCAGAGTTGGAGAACAAATGACCCAACCAGAGAAGCTAAAGCTTTAGTTATTTTGCAGTATGTGTGAATAAAGTAAGTGGAAAAGGGTTGCTTTGCATGGAGTTCAGGAAATGGGAACAAAGTCAAATGTGGGGGGCGTGCACTGAGCAGCATTCCGGAGAAGCTGGCCCTTGCTGGTAACAAGGCGAGCTCCGGGAGCCCAGGCTGCTTCCTCAGCCTCCCCTTCACCGAGGGCAAACATGCGAAAGTGTTCTGACCATTAATTGTGCTTCAGCCCCTGGTAGAGGTACCCAGAGGAGCGGTGCAGAAAGCGGAAGCCACACCCACCCAGGGCCTCGGTGCACGCACTCTCTGACACTATCTCAACTCCACCTGCAACATTTTCTCTCTGCAAACCCTTTTGGACTGCAACTTCCAATTGTTCCGGAAACCCCAAAAGCACTTGTCTGACACAGGTAAGGCCTTGGGCTCATGTGTAGCACCCCCATTCCCTTCTGACATCTAACCCAGCCTACCTGTGTGTATCTTGAGGTGGGTCCGCAGGTTGCTGGGATCACTGAAAGCCTTGCTACAGAAGTCACACTTGTGGGGCTTCATCCCCATGTGACCCATGAAGTGGACATGCAGCTTGGAGGGAGAGATGAAAGCCTGCGGGCACATGGAGCACTTCCACTTCCTCTCCTTGCTGTGGCTGGGCCCGTGGTTGCTGCCATGGCTCTGGCTGGGGAGGTGGTTGTGGATGTGGCTGGTCAGATGGGCCTTGAACTCTGTGTAGGAGCTGCACTCCTTCCCACAGTTGCAGAGGTGCACATCTGGGTGCTCAGGAACACCTTTAAGAAATAAACCACTCCATGTCTCCAGATACTTAAATCGCAAAACTTCACCTTGACAATAATCACTGTTGCTGGCAATCTTCCCTTCTACCAACATTTCCAACTTGCCCGCTTTCTATAAAATTAAAATGTCCTGTGCCAGACTCTTATTTTCACCATTTAAAATAAATTAACAGACACATATAAAATGCATGGCAAAGAGTGGATTAGTAAGGTCTCATTCCTGGGGAAAACACCAGATTCTGTAGCTCAGACTCTTGAACATCACTTGTCCAGATACAGTGAAAAAAGAAAGCTTATATACGTTACATCAAAGTACGGGACTTTGCTGGCCTTCGTGGACATCGATCTCAGTACTGCCGGATCCAAAAGCAGCCTCCGAAGCTTAAAGCTTCTGACAAATCAGTCACACCACAAAAGCTCGCTTTATGTGCACATCGCTTGGTCAGTGACAGCCAGCTGTGAAGAACGTCACAGACTCTGACATCTCAAACACAGAAGTAACACCTTGCTGTCACATACACAAGAGTACGCCACTTACTTGAGCTGCCACATAAATCATCACCAAAGCTTTATTTTTGGTCCTCAATGTTATTACTATGGTAGATTCATGACAAGTCTTACAAACTCACCCATCTGCTGAGCATAGTCCCGGCTGTAATAGAAAAGCAGCTCATTTTCAGGGGGGATGTCTTGTGAGGTGCAGAAATAGATTTTGCCATCATGCGGATAAGCCACCAAATTCTGCTCTTCCCGATTCCTAAGTCAGCACATTGAAAAGATTAAGCAGACGAACTTTTTTGGAAGAGACAGGGTCTTACGCTGCTGAGGCCTCCCTCCCACCCTCCTGCGTAAAACCCCTGAATGGGAGACTACAGATGCATGTCACTGCCCAGCTAAGCATACAACTTTTTTCCCTTGGTGCCAGGGATCAAACCCAGAGTGCACGCTGGGCCAGTGCTTCACCCCTGGGCTACATGCCCAGCCCCTTCAGCACACTCACCTAGAAATGCATACTTAAAAACATATTCTCCACAGCAGAATCCTACGTCAAAGCTTAGGCAGAACCATCTAGGTCATTTGTTAAATTCTCTATCCTACCTACTTCAGAGGGACTTGTAGAGAAACAGATTTTTTCAGAACTGAGAACTGAACTCAGCCTCACACTGACCTATACTCTTAAATTTTATGACAGGGTCAGCTAATTCACTAAGATGACTAGGCAGAGCTTAAATGTGCAACCCTCTTGCCTCAGCCTCCCAGAATGCTGGGATGATAGGCACGTGATACCATGCCTGGCTGAGAAGCACAATTATTGTTTCAGTACATTAGTTGATCAGCTTTAATAATCAGCAAACACTAGAGCCTATTACTAGGAGCAAAAAGAATAAACAAAATGACATTTTAAAAAAATATTCTGACAAAGATAGAGATCACTAGCTAACAAGAATTAACTATAGTTACAGCCTAGGAGCTGACCAAAGCCAACAGAAAGAGACAGCACCCACTCTAGAGGCAGGGTGACTCGCCAGACCTCTCCTCATGACACTGGTGAGCTGAACAACCATTTGTGCCGAGGAGGACAGTTACACAGGCACCGATTCACACCTCCCAGCCTCTGCCCGAGGGAAGATGCTGAAAGCCTCAGTCTTTAAGTGTGTCCCGCGCTCTGCAGCTCCTCCCAGTCTCACGCAGAGCTTCCCGGGAAACTCCTGAATGGTGCATCCAAGGCCACCCTCACCTGGCTTTGCGCACGAACATCATCCAGTTGCACTCATTCTCGTCAGTCGTGACAATGCAGAACTCCAGGACGCCGCTGTGGTAGATCTACAAGGAGAGCACCCCCATCTCCGGTGAGTGAAAGCCCCCCGTGTTCCGGCCCACAGTCCTGACCCGCTCGTCTGCAGCAGGCACTGTGTTCCTGATGGTGGGAGGACGCACAGCTGCCTACTCTGCTGCTTCTCCTTTCCCCATTCCTCCTGCTCCTGAGGCACACGAGAGACCATCAGAGGCCTCCAGTCCATCTGTGCACAGAGGACTTTGCCCTGGACTCGTCACTTTCCCACTAGGGAAGACGAAACCCCATCTACCTGTCTACCCGGCTGCTTCGGTCCCCCCCACACCTGCTGTGTCCCACCTGGGATGCCATAACTAAAGAGCCCGTGACATGGCACCTTACCTTTCCAATCGCCATCCAACTGTCTCCCCACTGCATTCCCAAGTCCCTGACTGAGGTTCTACAGAAGCATGTTACAGAAATTGTAGCTTATACCAAAACTCTGCATTTACACCAGAAAACTAGAAAAATAGTTTTAGTTTCTAATTCTAGAACTGCTTCCTGAGCAAAATATTTAGGAAGGTTTTAATTAAAAATAAGATTTGTAACATAAAAACAAAGTCTATAGCCTCAACAGCAACAATTAAAATGCATAAAATAATTAAAGCCATCAGATTCTCTCTCAAAGCAGAGACTAGAGTAATTTCTCCTCCTTGTTAATAGCTGGTGTATAACCTAGCTTCCCAGAAGAGTGGAAGGGCTGTGACATTAAACAAAATGACTGGGGAGTACCACTGTATCAGTTCTGGCAATTTGACTTTCTGTCAAACTCTAACATCATAATAAAAGCAGCCAAAATCAGAGAAGTTTCATCACCACTGACCTTCCAGATGTGGCTAACGGCCTTGTCTGTCCACTCAGCCACCTCCATGGAGTGACTTTGCTGACCGATCAGAGGCCCAAAGCAAGTGCGCACAGGGATGGTCTCTCCGGTCCACACACCTGCCAGCGAGGGGATACAACATACCCATGGCTGAAACAGCTCACAGACACCAAGGGCCTAAGCACAGCGGCTGTCAGCACTGTGAGGTGGCCAAGGCCTGGGGGCCTGGCTATAATGTATGACATGCACTGAAAAAATTAAACGGGGCTTGGCAGAAAGGCAGAGCAAGCAGTAGCATCCAAATTACTGAGCCTCGCTGTGTGCTGAGGAACGTGACCATGTCCCTCTAAGCACACTGCTACATGAGGAACTGAAAACATTACTCCGTTATAAAAGTATAAAGCAACTGTTACACGTCAAACTCCGAAAACCTTTCACGTTTAAAGTTCTGCTCTGTATTATCTAAGATGTTTTCACACTTTCAAGACTCATGCCCAAAGCTGCAGTTGAAAGAATAATGAACCTTAAAGTTTTATACTTTCAAAGAAATGACATGAGCAACCCAGGAGCCATGCTAAATTTAAACAGAGATAAAAAGTGCTCTGGGTGCCGACAATCCTTATTCCATTTTCCTAAGGAGAACTAGACAATCTGAACAGCGCTGATGCAATAAGTAACAGTGGACAATTTTCCATGTTTTAGTAAAAGAAACTAAGTTTCAAAGAACGTGTTGTTAAGACAACTGCTAGTGATGACAGCTGAGAATAAAAGCCAAGTCTTCAATGGCTCAGATCACGATTCTTTCAATTCTGATTCTAAGAAGGTGGAGGTTTCCCAGTAAAGTTTTCAACTTGATTTATTACTATAACCACCAGACAAGACATATTCCCTGAAAGCATAAAGCTTAAGCCATAATTGACTTCTGGATTAACTAAATAATCAATTATAGGGCTGGGGATTTAGCTCAGTGGTTCTGCTCCCTGCCTCATAAGCACAAGGATCTGCATTCAAAACCCAGTACCAAATAAAATAATCAATTTATATGTCTCCAGTTTTACAGCTCTACCCTACAAAGGAAGGAGAGACTTGGTATGGGGTTTGTTTATATCTCTTTTTTGATACCAGGGATCAAACTCAGGACCTTGTGCTTGCGAGGCAGGTGGCAGAACCACTGAGCTAAATCCCCAGCCCCTGTACAGGGTTTTCTGGTTTAAGATTCTTACCAACATCTGCTCCCACGATTGACTGGCGGAGAACAAGCTGCTTCGGGAGAGAAAGCCGTGCTCTACTCTCTATCGGAGAATCAGGAACAAAAGTCACTGGTCCGTGATCGGGGCAATCAGAGGGGTAGGCTCGGTCACACAGAGTGCACCCTGAAGACAGCAGATTTAAGGGACACAAATGGGCGTTGTTCACACAGACTAAATTACCACCTGGATTTTTATTTAAATGCTAGTTATTGAAATGTAAGAAGTAGGGTTCTACTAGAAAAGTTCTGATCAAAGAACTATTTTCTAACACTAAACACATATCCAGTCCTACACATCTCTTTAGACTTCAGTAAGCAGTAAGATCTGATCTTCTTTTGATTCAACAGCATAAGCTTTCTATTCAGTGCATTCAAGGAAGATGGGTCAAAAAATAATATGATGAAGCCAGGTGTGGTGGCCAACGCCTGTAATCCCAGCACTTGGGAGGCTGAGGTAGGAGGACTGCTGTGAGTTCGAGACCAGCCTGGGCTACATAATGAGTTCCAGATGAGTTTCAACTACATAGTGAGACCCTGTCTCAAAAAAACAAAAAAATAATATGATGGGCTGTGGATATAGCTCAGTGGTAGAGCATTTGCTTGCATGAATAAGACTCGGGTTCTTTTTTTCTCTCTCTCTCATTCAAGACTCTGGTTCTGATCCCCACCACCCACCCACACACACACACAAATCACAAAATTTTTAAAAAGATTATTTCAACAATCTAGTATACTAAGTATTAAATTAAGTAAATAAGCAATACTTTTCGATATTCAATGTGACTGAAAAATACAGTGAATTACTCTTTTAAAGACGTTTTATTATTGCCATGAACCCTTCCCCTTGCTTCAAACTCACTTAGTCCATCGTTCTTGCCACTTTCTGAAGTAGCTTTGGAAGCCCTTTTTCCTGATGTCTTTAGTTGTATGTGGCTTGCTCGATGTACTCAATCAATCTAAAACCTTTCATGGTCATTTTGTCTTTGGAGAAGAGCCTGCAGTCACACAGTGCCAGATCTGGTGAATAAAGAGGTTGAGGACACATCATCCTATTTTTATGAGCCGCCTTTCTGCTGGATGGCACTCAGTAACAGCAGTCACCGAATCCTGATCACACCTCATAAAGACACTCTCCAAAGAGGACTTCCACACCTGCTTCAGGAGGTGGCAAGAACGATGGGACGAGTGTGTTCACAGCAGGAAGGGTACTGTGAGGACGACTTACGGCATCGCGTCTTTTACCCTAATGAATTTAACTTAAACATTCACCATATATCGTGATCATCCCTTGAATGGTACCCTAAAGTGCAAAAGGGAGCACTCTGAACGACAAGAGGAAGGTGTGCTGCTGAAATGTAATAGCTGTGCAGAACAGATATATGGGTAACACTGCAGGACAGCAGAGTCAGAACCAGCTGTACCACTGGGCTCTGTCTCCCTGACTCTCAGATGCCTATGTCTTCCGTCTTTCAGGGCCATGCTGAGCCTTCCCTGACTCCTCCATGGTCTGCCTAGCTGCTTCCCTTCTGGGCCCTATGGCACCATGAGCTCATCCCCCTCCCTGCCTTGCATTCTGTGGCTGAGGGCTTGTGTACCTGCCTGTGCTTCCTCCTCAGAGACACAGGCTATCTCTGCAGTGCTCCACCGTGGCATCCGCCAGCAGCTGGTAGACAGCGAGTATGAGTGACCCAAGCAGCCACCAAATCAACCATTTTTATATTGCTTTGTTGCTGCCCAATAAAAAGACCTTTTATATACTCAACCTAGGTAACTTACATGCATTCTGAGCAAAAACCAGAAACAAACCCTACATTTATATTCATCCATTTTTCCATGGAGCTGTAAAAGTAAAAGTGGATCTGTTTTTTCTTTTGGTTTTATGCCGAAAGCACACAAGACATGTGACATAGATTAGCATTACTAAAGTTCACTCCTGTAGATCTCTACTTAGGAAGCCTTGGGAGATATCTTGAATATATTTGGGCTAACTAAATAAATATAAAATTTAAAAAGACTTTTTTTCTTCAGTTGGATACTGTAGGAACCAATGAAATCTGTGTACACTGTTTGGCTTCCTTGAGGACAAGGTATCACATTAATAAAAGAACAATACAAATGCAAAGAAACATTCCAAAGTCAACCTGCCATGCCCTCTTAACCCACGCCAGATCTTGTGACTAAACATATTAGGGATAATGGCCTTTTCCAATCAGTATTTCCCAAAGAGAAAAGCTAAGCACACTTACAAATTGTAAACAAGGTTGCCATATTTTCCTTGTTTGAATTGGAGTCCTCCATTTGCAACGAAGGCGGTACAAAAGAAAGACTGTCTGAAGACACATCCACGTGACCTGTCCCCATGGCAACCTCCTGGGTGATGGAGGAGACAGCCACAGGCTCAAGGCTGAGGCCCACCTCATGGAGAGAAACCGACTCTAGGGAGGCGAGGCTGTGTGAGGTAGAGAGTGCCACACTGACAGAGTTGGTGCTCATGGCCACGGTGTGGATTGAGTCACTGAGGGCACTGTCAGACATCCCGCTCACCCGACTAGCAATGTGGTCTGTCTCCATGACCACAGGGAGCTCCAGGCCACTGCCATGAATGGGGATCACACCGCCATGTCCCACGGTGTCCGCGGCAAGGTTGCTGTTCACAGAATCCACAGAGAGTGGTTCGTGACTTCGGGAGCCATTTGGGATTTGGGAGTGCTCGCCTGCAACACTGTCCATCGCGAGCTCCTCTGCCATTCCATCAGTGGAGATTGGGCTGGTGACCCTGGACACGTTCTCCATGGTGATTGTAGTGTCCAAGGCCACCTCGTGGCCATCACTGGGATGCAGAGTTTGGGCACCATGTGTGTTCACAGAACGAGAGTCTATTGAAACAATGCCTGGTTCCAACCCAACATTTCCACTGGACTGATAGGGATCTAGAGCTGAAGGATTGTTGGCGATGGACAACGCTGCATTGCCATCCACGTTGACAGAGTTGGGGTGGATGTACTGAGGAGGTGGCCTGTCCGCTAGGTAGGATAAAATGCCTGAGAAAAGCAAATATGAGACACCAGAGGCCTTTTAGTATAACGTTAAATATAAAACTTTAAGTGGGCTACTGTGCCTCCTCACACTAGCATACCCGATACTGTGGGGCGGCGACGGGGACCTTTTAGAGCTCTCAATGATACAAACAGTCAACAGCGGCATTCTGACAGGTTTCCCACCCCTGCTCTAAGGTGTATTTTTATTTTGCCTCCTTTTTTACTTGGCCCAAACTCAGAGTCCATTTTTGCTCTACCCTTCTGCTTTTTCCCCCTTTACCGTTTTTTACTAGTATAAATGATCCCTTTTATTGAAAGTAATGTGTGACACTGGCCTAGCTTTGCATTGCAAGCCCTCAGTCAAATAACTATGGCTGCAGGTTCTTCAGCACAATCCACAATTCAGACACAGACAGAGCTGGAGGAGCAGGAGGGTGGCAGCATGTGCACTGACCCAGCCCTGGCCCTCCCAGGGTGGGATTCACCAAGGCAGACACACCCCATGGAATGAGGAGAAGATGGCGTAACCCTTCCCACATCAAGCCTGGAGCTGCTAGCAAATTGCCTTTAAGAATCTTGGGCCCAGGCCATCCTAAAGCCCCACAACTTTTCATCTGGATTAGTTAGTAAAAAAACAGTAAATTAAAATTAAGCAACAGCTTGGTCCTGAGGATGCTGAGCCAGCATGTCCACAGTTTGTGGCACAAAATCAGGGTCATTGTGGGTTTTTTTGGAGTTCAGGAGTTGCTGGCTTGTTTTTAAATTTATTTTTAAAACATTCCCAAAGATCCTGGGGATGGGGCTCTGTGAGCACCTAAACCTGGGACAAAGTCTTGTCAGTGATGTCACGCTGTTCCCACATTCCCCCCTTTACCTTTAACGAATGTGAAGCTTTGCCACCATTTTAAAAAGAATTAAGACTTTGATCCCCAATACCAAAAAGAAAGAAAAGAAACAAAAATTTAAAAACTTCAAGTGCTAAAGCTATTTTCCTTAAAAATATGTTAAAATAACCTACTTTTTTATTTTAATGAATAGCTACACAAATATATCCCATTTGAATTTTTCCTGAGAAAATGAAATCCTAAAAATTTAGGTACTTTTATTTAAATGCTGCCTTTAATATTTACATGATTGCAATTCCTGAGTCCTAGCATGCTAAACTTTGCTCAGTAACAAATAACTAAACAGGAGTCCAGCCCAGGGCTTCAGAGGAAAACTATCTCACAAAAAATTTTTTAAGTTTAGCTTTGTGCTACAAGGATGTGGTGAAATGTTACTTGATATACAGGTAGAGCAAGTATAAATTACTAAAAGATCTTTGGGAATTAAAACACATTTAACCCCATAAAAATGTTCTTCTTGCACATGAAATTCTTTTGTGTGACAATCTTCCCTAAATGTATTTTTGTAAGCAGCACACACAGAAACATTTATATCAATTATAATGCTAACAAAAGCCTGCAAAAACTATACTGTCCAACAACAGTAAAGACTGGTGACAATAAACCCAGCACTATCCATTCAACAGAATGTAATGACCCATTAAAAAGGACAATTATGAAAATGAGGCAGCAACAGGAGAAAATATTAAGTGAAAAACTAAACAATTATATAGAAAATATAGTCTTAATTGTGAAAAACAGGAAAAATCTACACACCAAAATAAAAGACAGGAAGAAAGCACATCAAAAAGATGGATGAAGGGACTTAAGAGTGGTTCTTGTCTCTCCTTATTTGCTGTGTTTTCAGAAATGAGCATATAATATTTTTGTAACAAAACAAAAATTCAATAAACTTCAAAAAACGATGACACTGCAGCAGGACGTGTGGCTGATAAGAGTTCACTGCCCAATTATAAATCCCGGGCTAGAGGCTGAGGCAGGAGGGATCACTGTGAGTTTGAGGCCAGCCTGGGCTACAAAATGAGTTCCAGGCCAGCAAAACTTTGTCTCAAAAAGCCCAAAGGTGGGGAAAAAAAAAGAAACCAACCAATCAACCAACCCACCCTGGACAAGGAAATGCTGGAGGAGAAACAAAAACTGTGCAGGTAGCAAACAAATCTCCTATACTACGGGGGAATTCCATGTATTCAAGAGGATTGTTCATAAACAGACATAATTTTCCCACCTAGAGATTAATGTGTGATCACGACAAGACAAAACAAGTGATACACAAGTTGAGAACTGAGGCTTAAAGTTGACTCTATTCTGCTTCTAAAAACAACTCTGAACCTCACCAGGAAGAATGGTTCTGAAGTAGCTGCTCTCCAGGTGAGGGTAAGGCGGTGGAGGGAGGGTGTAGTTTCTCTCAGGTAACCCGCACATCACCCCACGATCGCCAATTCCCATTGGAAGCATCAAAGACAAAGCAGAAGGCAGGGAGCTCAGGGATGGACCCAGGTTTGGAATTGCCACTGGCAGACCTACAAAAAAAAAAGTTTTTTAATTAAAAGAAAAAGTACTCAGCAATTTTCTCTGTAGCCACAAGCTAAACTTCTTAGAAGTATTTTCTCACACAGGTAACAATCTCACCTCAGCAGCCCGTCATCCCTAGAGAGGCAATGGTGTGCCAGCATCCAGGAACAGGGCCGACAGAGCCCTGCTGCCAACACCAAGTGCTCAAGTTTAAGATGCCAAGCTGATCCTCCAGTTGTCCCGATTGTTTTTAAGCACCACAGCATTTAATTTACAACCAAAAACCTAGTTTAAATAATATGTAAGAGGGCCAGGGATTTAGCTCAGTGGCACCAAGCCTGCTTCTCAAGCGCAAGGTCCTGAGTTTGATCCCTGGTACCAAAACAAACAAAAAATAATATGTAAGAAAAACTATACACAAAACATAAGTAGAAAGAAATATGAATTGTTCACGTGGGTGGTTTATGGTAGTACGGATTTTTGTTTGTTTGTTTGTTTTACTTTCTGATATTTTCCATTCTACATGGTAAGGATATTTTGCTTTGTAAAAACCTCATAGATTTTGGAAAATAGTCTAATTTAGTCTACTTGGAAAATAGTCCAATTTAAACTTAGGTGTAAAACTGCACATACACATTTCCGTACAGTCTATTGTATATATGCTGTGCAACATGGTCCATGAAGAACTTCACCCTGAGTCTGTGTCATCATGGAGCACACCTACCCACAGGGTGGTGAAATGACTCTTCCTGCAAGTGTCTCAGTGAACATGGACCAGCTTGGGCAGTGCTAGCTTATGTATTTTTGCCACAGACAACATACTTAATAGGCTTTTCCTCCTTAGCAAGAGTCCACTAACAGGAATGCCTGCCTAGGAGACAGGTTAGCAACTCAACTTTTTTGTATTTGTTTGGTGGACATTTTACAAAAGGAAGGTAACAAGATCTTAGTTTCAATGAAACATTCAATTGCTGCATTTTGCTAATAAAGCAGGTGATTCTCTATAGAGCACCAGTGAAACAACTCATACATTTATTTAAAGTACTCCCAAACAGAACTCTTTTTTTTTTTGGTACCAGGGATCTAACTCGGGTCCTTATGCTTGCGAGGCAGGCGGAGGCACCACAGGGCTAAATCCCCGGCCTAATAACTCCTATTTTGATAACTCTACTATGTGACAATGACATAGATTCTCAAGAATCAGTACCTCAATCATTTCTTTGCCATTTCAATCAAAAAAGAAAAAAAATCAGACAGAAAAGAAGGTTTTAAAAGCACAAAGAGGGCCAGGGATTTAGCTCAGTAGTTCTGCCACCTGCCTTGCAAGTAGGACCCAAGTTCGATCCCTGGTACCAAAAAAATAAATAAATAAATAAAAGGTTGGCAAATGATGGTCCCACAGGACAAATATGGCCCACCACCTGAATTTTGGGCAAGGGATTTAGCTCAGCGGGTTGGTGGCCTGCCCTTGCAAGCGCAAGGACCCGAGTTCAATCCCTGGTACCAAAAAAAAACAAAAACAAAACAAAAAAACACAGACAAGGGGCAGGATGGGCTTCTGGTGGACTCTTCTGAGTTCCATCTCTGGTCCTGCTTCCTTCCCAGAGTTCCAGGCCTGGGAGATTTTTCAATCTCAAATCTAGCAGAAACAAAGCCCAATTCCCCATGCTTTCTGGGAATGAAAGAGCAAACGTGACTGCTCTCTTCTACTCACCCAGGGCCATGGTGCCCAGGTGTGACCCCAAATACAACGCAGCCAATACAGCTCTGAACAAAAGGCTCCCAACAGCAGAGATGATCAGAGAAACAGGTACTCCTACGCACTAGGACTGGGGAACGCTACAAACATGTTTTCTCCTGTGCCAGCACACATGGCACTGCCAGGCCTGCCTGGTTTCTCCTCCAGCTCCCCTCGCTCCTCTCAGAATCACAATGCAAGAGCCAGGGAGACAGTGCTCTCCCTGACCACTCACCGGGGGCAGGGATGGCACTGTGCGTGGGAGAGGCAGCCAAGCCCAGGTGACCTCCTGAGACTGGCAAGGTGTTGCTCACAGAGGAGGTGGTCAGCTGCTCCATCCCCACTGGGCTCAGATTCATTTCATTCATCCTAGAAAAGAGCACACACAATGGGTTTTGCCAAAAATCACCCCTTGACTCCATGTGAAGACACTGGAGTCTGAAGCCATGGGGACAGGAAGTGGGGCCTGGCCTGCTCTTCATGTGGATGCTCTCTGGGATAGCAGTGTCATACTCTTTCTACAGATAAGGAATCTAGGAATCAGAGAGGTTTACTCATGTTACTGTCATGTTGCAGAAATAGATTGAGATCAGGCCTGCTGTACTCTAAACCATCCAAAGCAAACCCACAATCCATAGAGCACATCAGCAAGGACTGATCTGTCCACCACCCAAGCGTTTCTCTCCCAACAGTTACTGTCTAATTGGTTTTATGACTTCAAAGCAGTATTTTTTAGGCAGTGTAAGTGGTCCAGTCTGGGCTCTAACTTATGATCTTGTCTCAATCGAGGAGCTAATATATCCACAGGTTATGAGATACCTTGGCCAGGTATCTCATAAAATTAAGGTCTCAGGTATCAACTAACTTACAAGGTCAACCCAGTAGAGTACCTTGTGTAGAAGAGACAGTCTGAATTTTTTTTATTTGGATGGAGTAATACAAACTCATCATCCTTACCAGAAAGACAGCTAGAACCAAACAGCAGATAAGGTACACCCTGTATGGCAAACAGCAGTGACTAGTAACAGTATGTATTACTCTACAAAAGAATGCAAAACTTCTTGGAACCCTAAAAAACTACAACTACCTTAATTTTGAACGTTTTTGGGCATGAGTTGTTTAAAACAGATTTCTCTGATAACCTGTTACAGCTGCAACCATAGCCAAAACTAACACTTCCTGGAGCTGCAAGGATGCACAGTAAATTGGTTACAATAGTTTTTAAAAGGTGAACCAAAAGTTTGTAGCTTCAACTCCCATTTGAAAAGTCTTGAATATCGATCTACTTCCCATCCAAAAGAAAAAATCAAAATGTTTTTTGGTTGACTCCTGAGCCTTCTCCAACCAGTCTCAACCAGAGTTTAGCGAGACTCAGCAGATCTCAGCTTTGTTGTGAGTCACTGCAACCTGATGACCTCAGCAGCCACAGACAAAGGTGAGAGGGTCCCACAGAGAAGGCAAAGAGGGAGGAAACAAGAGGGTCCTCCTCAGGCCTCCTCACCCTAACCGCAACTCTGTTCTCTTCACTTTTCTTTTTTCTTTTGGTACCGGGGATGGAACTTGGCAAGGCAGGCGGCGGCACCACTGAGCCAAATCCCTGGCCCCTCATTTTTCTTATACAAGGTTCTGAGCAGCAACCTGGGAAGAAGGGCCAAAGTCAAGGCACTAGGCGCTCTCTTCCGTTTGTGGTAAAATCATTGCTTACATTTTACCGTGTGTGTATTTGTGCGTCTGTGTTTCTAACCAACCTATGGAACCCTTTGCAAGCTGCTGATCTCACTTTTTCCTTGGAATGACACATAAGGAATGTAGCAACTCTACGAAATGCAAGGGACAGTGTCAAGCATGTTAATTAATTTGTGTTTACTCTTCCTAAACATACAGGCTTAGAAAGGGTCCTGGAAAACAGCCAACTACAACTCTGCTTCTGCCTGACTCGGTCCTGCACTGCCGCGGGGCTTTAAAGCATCTCAAGCATCAGCACGAAGCTTGCAAAAGGAAGAGCTTCATCTCCCGCCCCACCACCTTTGATTAGAACACCCAGCACTACCCGAGGTGAAGCTCCAAGATAGGAAAATACACTTTCCAAACAAAGCTATTCCGCAGGAGAAAGGGGGCGCCCAGCCAACAGGTCGCGCGCGCCCACCTGGAAACCTAGTCACGTGCTCAGCGGACCAGGAGGACGGCACCCTGCGGCTCCCGCTTCCCGGGTCTCCCGTCAGCTAGCGA